ATCTATCTATCTATCTATCTATCTATCTATCTATCTATCTATCTATCTATCTATCTATCTATCTCTCTGTGTGTGTGTGTATCCCTGTTTGGTGCCTTGCCAATACACTAGACTACAACTCCCATTCTCCATAACCATTTTTGCATTCTAGCTCTCTGTACCCCATAGCTTTAAATGGGTGAAAGGAGATGCATGTATCAAATCTGCAGAAAAACAGCCTGCAGAAGATGGTTATAGACAGATTCCAAGCTGCATGTTGCCACTGAAATTATAAAGATTTCCAGGAGCATATCTCTTCTCTAACCTGAACTGTTCTCTCTCTGTTTACATGCTTCTTTTTACTGAAAGATGTCTAATATGGTTTGTAAGTTTCCGATAATCTTTGCTTTCCTTATCTTGAGTATAATTCATTGAAGCCTCCATGACTTGGAAGTTGGAAGAGATCACTACTGTTTTTGTTGCAAACATAGCAAACAATCTGTTCTGTGCACGCACCGAATGATCCTGGTTGTAATAGAGAAAGGTTATGCATCATGAGGTCATCCATGTTCTCATCTAATGTAACCAAACTCATATTGGAACATTGTTGATATGATACTTCCTCATGTCCCAATTAGCATGAACCCAAGAGTAAATCCTGAGGATTAGGGATGAAACAGAATTAGCCTTTCTGTTCTCTGCCTGACTCTTTCCCAGTATTTAATTTATAATTAAATACTGAATTTAATCAGATCTGGAAGCTTTCACTGGTTCTTTCTGTATGTGCTTAGTGATCAAGTTTTCTTTAGATAACCAGAATTTTTAAAAAGCATGAACCCCATCTATTGACGTATATATGAGATACGATACAGTAGTCCTCCTTATTAGAGGGAGTTTATTGCATCTGTGCTGAGTTTTAGAGATAGTTAAATGGTTGTGCAGCTGCTCCACTGTGTGGCCAAATCAAGATCATTAATCCCACAGTATTTTCACAGTACTCCTGATATTTTACCATGCCATCAAAAATGCTTGATCACTGGTCTTACACCTCCGTGGTAAAATCTTAGCTTGGGCTGGAAAACCTTGACTTAGCTTGTCTTAAAAGCATAGTTCTCTTACTTCATCATGGTTCCATTACACGCTGAGAAGAAGGAACAGATTCATGCAACTCAGAAACAGGCATGTTTCCCAACATTGCATTAGAATCTACGGCCTGATCAGAACAAGTTGCAAGGCAAATGAAGTACTGAACAATCTTTTTAGATGTTTACTTAGAAGAAAGTAACCCTTTGTGCAGTGGGGCTTCCAGCAAAGTATGCCTGTGATTCCAGTTGAGCAGAGCAATCCTATAATTAGAG